ACAGGCAGAGCCACCGAGCCCGGCTGTCTATGCTAATAAATCCAGAGTCATTAAAAGCTCTCTTCAAGCCGGGCTTGGTGGCTCAGCCTGTAATCCTGTGACTTCGGGAGGCTGAGGTGAGTGGATTGCCTGAGCCCGTGGGTTCGAGATCCGCCTGGGCAACTTGGCGAGACCTCATCTCTACAATAAATCAAAAATTACCCGGGCGTGGTAGCGCACACCTGTAGTTCCAGCTACTTAGAAGGCTGAGGTGGAAAGATCGCCGGAGCCCAGCAGGTCGAGGCTGCGGTGGACGGGAGCGGCCACTGCATTCCAGTCTGGGCAACAGAGTGAAACTTCAACTCAAAAAAAAAAAGAAAAAGAAACAACAATTTTCTCAGAGAGCTGCACAAAGTCCCCCTTGGGACTTGAAGAGCAAATCTAGACCTCTACAAGAATCTACCTGATGGTGGAGTTGATCTATAGTAGATTGAATAGTTTTTACATTCTCATTGATGTGTTGCATGAAATTAGTTTGGCCTAATTCTCCCTAAACCAGAGCAGCAGTTCCAATTGCAGCTGTTCCAGCTATACTTATGCTGACTATGGCAGGTATTAGCAGAGGAACAGTTCATTTTTGAAGAGTGGGTGGTGGAAATTCAGGTGGAGTGAGTGGGTAACCAAGCTCCGTCAGGGTCAATATAAGCATACATTTGAGGCAACATATGAACATAAATGTATAACATAGGTTGTTTGACCATTTCTTTAGTAAAATTACATTTTGTAAGGCCTGTAGCACTGGTTAAACAGGCATTGCCAGTGTTAAACCCAAAATTAAAAATCCGAGAGACCACCAAGGAGCCAGCTCCATGCAAACACACGAGAGTCTTCACTCAGGCTTGAGTCTGGGCTCACGTTTGAAGCCAACACAGCAGCTTCAGGGATGAGAGCCCCGACCCAGGCTAACACACACCTTTTATACATAATTCTGAAGGGGTAGGGTGGCTTCACAAACTTGTGCACACAGGATTGGATAAAAACTATATGACGCAGTTACAAAGACTTTGATTGGTTGATTCGAGTTCGATTTGCACGGGCTCAGGCTTAGTTACCTGTGATGGACAAGTAACTGCCAAACGGGCGGAATGGAATGTCAGATAAGCTAGGTTTAACAAGCAGGCAGGAGGTTTGAAACAAGGCAGAACCCACCGGGGGGGTGGCTTATTGCTTAACATTCACACACTGCTAGCAGCAGTTGCAGAAGCAATCGGTTATTTTATGGCACAAACAAAAATTAAACTTAACAAAGTTCTAAGTACAAACACTGCAAACAAATACAGTGAACATGGGGTAGGAATTCATATAGTAATAGTTCTTTTTGAGTTTTTTTTTTGAGTCTCTCATTCCCCTGCTCTCAGAGGAGCCTAAAGATAAGACCCAATCACGGGTCTACATAGGTTTCTTTTTTTTTGAGTTGGAGTCTCACTCTGTCACCCAGACTGGAGTGCAGTGGCCGCTCCCGGCCACCGCAGCCTCGCCTGCTGGGCTCCAGCGATCCTTCCGCCTCAGCCTTCCAAGTAGCTGGAATTACAGGCGTGCGCTACCACAACCGGCTAATTTTTTTATTTATTGTAGAGATGAGGTCTCGCCAAGTTGCCCAGGCAGGTCTCAAACCCGCAGGCTCAGGCAATCCACTCACCTCAGCCTCCCAAAGGCACGGGATTACAGCCTGAGCCACCGAGCCCGACTTACATAGGTTTCTTTAAGGCCATTCTGAAAATGGATATGAGAGCTGAGACAACACGGGTGGGTACCAAGTGGTTGGTACTGCTGCTTGAGTACCATGACTTGAATGATGCTGACTCGATTTTTAACAAAGGCTATAAACTTGTTGATGATGCAAGGCCCAAAAATAAGTAGGATAATTAAAACAACTAAAGGGCCAACTACAGTGGAAATTAATGTAGTAAACCAGGGGGAGCAGTTAAACCATGCTTCAAACCAATTGAGTTGTTGCTCTCGTTTTCCAAAACTATAATAGTAGAAAATAGAGACAATGAAATTCTTAAAGTTAACTATATTCTTATTAAACGTTAAAATATCATGATTGGTCATGCTTGAACTAACATGATTCTTTGCCATTAGCATGACCCATTTTACAATAATTTTTTATGAATAAAATAAACTTAATTTTTATAATAGGTAGAAAAACCTTATACTAATTGTAGTTAAAACTGGTCTGAAAGAATGCAGTCCAGTCTAAAGTACGCACTAGGCCCTCAGGAATGTGGCCCAAACTTTGTGCTGGGCTACTTCTGACAACTCTAGATAATTATTTATACCATTGAAAAGCTTGAAACAGCTCTAAATCTTATAAAGAAGCTTGTTCCATATAAAAGGCTTCCAAATGTGACCTGAATTTGAATTATATTTAATTTTTAAGCTGAAACCACAGTTTTATGGGAAACGGGAACAATGGGTTTCTAGAGTGAGCCATGCCTGTCACAGTCACAGAGCCTTTAGTTTAGATCAGCAGAGTTTCTTTAGGTTACTTGTGCTGCATGGTAAAAGGAGGAGGAAAATGGGGTCCATGACCCTCCCTGATCCCTAATGCTCAGTGGGCTTCCGTGGCCGGCTCCCAACATCTCCCCCTTTTTTAAATTTTTGTGCACAGCCGGGTTCAGTGGCTCAGCCTGTAATCCTGCGCCTTTGGGAGGCTAAGGTGAGTGGATTGCCTGAGCCCGCGGGTTCGAGACCCACCTGGGCAGCAAGACATCATCTCTACAATAAATCAAAAAAAATCAGCCGGGCATGGTAGCGCATGCCTGTAATTCCGGCTACTTGGAA